GCCTTTTTTTTTCTTTTTCTTTTTTTCTTTTCTTTTTTCTTCTTTTTTTTGCATTTAGTATTTTAATTTTACCAATTTCAATACATGTATTAATTTCTCTGAAATTTTCAGAAATTACTTTTTCGATGAACTGAACCCTCAAACAGAATTAATTTGAATTTCAAATAATGGATATTATTTTTAATATCAATATAGTATTATTCTTTTTTAGGCAATTAATTAAAATAACTATGTCTTCAGCTAATTATCAATCAGTTAATTTATATAATTTTTTTGAATCAAATCTAATCGAGTATTTCATTCGATCTGAAAATTTTTAAACTAATTCAATCTTTATTCTGAACACAAAAAAAATCTTCAGGTAATGCTTTTAACTTGTATTAATCTAAGGAACCTCAAAAATTTTTGAGCAACAATTTTAATATAAGAATTTTTACATTAGTGCATGCTCTTACAGTAGGCAAGCTCTCTAAAATTTTGGTTGTTTATTATAAAATTACATGAGCTTAACTGTGACTATATTTCTTTTTTCAGTCTATTCTAGAAATTTAATAGAGGAATCAAACTATTCTAGAAAACTGTGCACTCCTTCTATATAGAAATTTGTATCTCAGTGCTAAAAAGTATATAATTGACTTTATTATATTGAATTGTAAAAGCTAATTAAACTTTAGCAAGTTTATTAATGCATATCAATAAGTGAAGTTAAACATCAATTTTCATAATTAAACAGAATTTCTTTATAAAAATTTGTCGAATATGTTGAATAATGAGATAAAGTTTGTTCAATTCATAGCCAACTATTATCATAAGAAATTAAAAGTTAAAAAAAAAAAATAAATATAACATATCAATTTCTTTTTGTATCCGTTCATATTCAAGTTCACCTTACTTTCATTCAAGTTTATGCTCTCGCACAACAACTCTCATAGCAAACAAATCTAATAACAAAACCTCATATAATTATTTTTTAAGTATCTAGAAGAATTCTCTGATTATGATTTGTACTATCCATCAGAATCTCTTTCAATATCATTTTTGACAAAAGAATCTAATGATCATTATCCTTCATATAATTATAATTCCATATTAGATCCTCTTTTAATAGTTAATGATATTAATAGTGGTTGTTTTGCTAACAGTTATTTAGAAGATCATAATTTGGAAAATCAAGTTCAGCAAATAGAAACTAAATTATTATTTATTAAATATGATTTCGAAAATCGTGTTCAGAAATTAGAATCTGAGATATTATTTATTAAGAACTCTTAAAAAAAATTTTAATTTATACAAATCGTTATTTATATTGAATTTTCCTTT